CACTAAACAAGTTTATGGGCCAAATTGACTTTTATTTCTAGGAATGAAAGACCAATTTAACACCTAAATTTATTAAGAAAGATTAAAAAAATTATAGTTAATCATTTTAGCTAATCGAATCTCTAAATTTATTTTAAAAAGATTTAAATGTCAATTTTAATCTTTTTTCAGCCAATTTAACTTTAAAAATTGTTTTGATTTTTTGAAATTGATGAATTAATTCAATTCAATAAGATTAATTTTTGTCATTTTTTATTCTATACTGAAAACACTCAAATCAAACTTTTTCAACACTTCTAAAGAGACTTTTAAAATCCATAAAATGCATTATTCCTTTCGACATAGTAAATTCACAAAACAGGTAGTATAACTTTAATTTGTTCACAAAACATATAGAAAGTTTCTCTATATAAAGAGAACAGAGATAGTAATTTCTCTGTTAATAAATATAAAATATTTTTAGAAAATTAATTATTTAGTCCTTTAGGTTTGACGAAATTATTTTAGTCATTGCGTTTTAGACAAATATCCAGAGCCTACACGACATTTGCATCTGTTAACCTAAGTAGTCCCTCTGTCCAATTTGTAGGGTATTTTCTGTTAAATCAAGGTGAAAATACTCAAATGCCTTAATATCTCTTCTAAGCAGTGTTCTGAGAATCGGACCGGTTAGTGAACCGGTGAAGGTAGGAGTTCACTAAATCAAAAGGTTTGATTGGATTCAATACGGTTCAACTGATTTTTTATATATAATATTTTTAGATATATTTATTAAATAAAATTAAAAGTATAGGTTAAAAACAACTTTGATATCAAATAGAAAATAGTTCAAATTTGGCTTTTACAAAAAGAATAAGAAATTAATAAATAATTTTAAACAAAAAGAATAAAATATGACTAAATTTAATACTAAAATACATTAATTAGTTACAATAAGTTATGTTATATTTTTCACATGTCTTTAAAATTAGGCAATTTAATTATTTTAATTAATATATTAGGACTTTGGGTTTCGAAAAAAATAGGTCCAAAAACTAAAAAATTAGTAGGCCCAGGCCCAAATTTTAAAAAAGTCAACATTTTATAAGAAAAATTCGGAATCGAACTGATTTTATAAGAAAAATCCTTATTTATTTGATATGTTTCATTAAGTTGATTTTTAGCAAATTTAAATTGAAAAGTTGCCATCCTTAAATTGTCCATGAATTGAAGAGAAAACAATGGAATTACAAAAACCAAGCTTTCATCGGCTCTAGTAGCAGCAAAGAAAGAAAAGAAACCGAAATAATGGTTTGCAGTGTCCTTATTTATTTTTCTTTTTCTAAGGAATTTTTTAGTTTTCTTCTTATTTTTCTACATTTTGAGTGGATATTTCCTAAATTTAAAAACTAACAATAAAAATTTTGAAGTGTTATATTCATATTAGAATTCAATTTGAAAATCGAGTTTAACAAATTCAAATTTAATCTACTTGCTTTTAAACTTTAATCATATTATATCATCCTTAAATTGTCCATGAATTGAAGAGAAAACAATGGAATTACAAAAACCAAGCTTTCATCGGCTCTAGTAGCAGCAAAGAAAGAAAAGAAACCGAAATAATGGTTTGCAGTGTCCTTATTTATTTTTCTTTTTCTAAGGAATTTTTTAGTTTTCTTCTTATTTTTCTACATTTTGAGTGGATATTTCCTAAATTTAAAAACTAACAATAAAAATTTTGAAGTGTTATATTCATATTAGAATTCAATTTGAAAATCGAGTTTAACAAATTCAAATTTAATCTACTTGCTTTTAAACTTTAATCATATTATATTCATATTAGAATTCTATTTGAAAATCGAATTTAATAAATTCAAATTTAATCTACTTACTTTTAAATATAATTACATTTAAATAATTACAATTTTTAAAATTTTTCTTATCTATATCTATATAAATATATCTACCTCTTGTATATTTATACTGATTTTGTTTTTCAAGCGTCCCACTCTCCTACTCTCCAATCAAAGTTTGTATATAATATGTTAAGTTTGTATATAATCTGTATTTGTTAGATTAGGTTTTGCATTATATGTGTTTATTAGGTTTAGGTTTTATGACGTTTAATAAAAATTGTTGGAGTTGAAGATGTTTGATGTTGTGTTTGATTAGTGGTAGATGCTTTGCATTTAATTTATGAATGCAATGTGGTATGTTTATAACAACAATATGAAGATTATTGAAAAGCTATTGATCGAACAACAAGTGCTGAGGTTGAAGAATCCTCTCTTCAAATAAAAATAAGTTTCTTTAGCCTCTTCATTTTTCAAAGAGAGACAAATTTATCATTGCATGGAGACAAGAAACTTCCATTTTTCATCTTTAGCCTATTCTTTTTTTTTTTTCTTTTTTCTTTTTTGCATCTAAATAAAACATCCTATTTTTTACCACACGAAAAAGATAATTATATTTGATAGAAAATAAATATTATATCTCAATATTTGACATACTAGTGATTATTTTACATTTAAAACTCAAATTTAAATTCACAATCTATTTCAATTTCACAATTACAATCATCCAAATAGAATAAATAAGAGATGAGTGTGTTATACGTTTTTTCCTTTAAACACTCAACATTTTTTAGATCTAAGATAATTTGATTTTTAAAAATAAAATAAATAGAACTAATATTATAATTTTTATTCAAAAATCAAAAACTTTTAAAAAATAATAACATAATTCAATAATAATATTTATTTAAAAAATTTTAAACCATTCCACATACTCTCATATTGACAGACTTATTTATAACAATTGCACCCTAAAATAACTTAATCCCTCTCAGACACTCCAATTTTAAAATTGCATAGAAGTTGCACCTTAATTACAAATTTGGTCATAATTGACATTAAAATATAATAAGGCGGGACCCACTGAAGTTAACTAAACCAAACTTTGGTTTGTTTTAAACGGCACGGTCTAGTTTTTCTAACCCAAAGGCCAACCCTCTCTTCTTCAACGATTCCTCTCCCTCTCCTCCATAGCTCTTCTTCGTGATTAGGAGTTTGAACCTGGAGGCAATACATGAAAATCTGCAACTAAACGTTCACATCTTAAACCCCATTAGCTAAAATCATTACCATTAACAACATTACCTTTAGCTGCTCTTGAATTTATTCCTCCGTCGCATATCACTATTTTGCCTTTAACAAGTTTAGGATCTAAATAACCTTCTAAACATAATTAACTAGAGTAACCATCTACCTTCACTACGAGAATAAATTAGAGGGAAAATAATTAACTTGTCTCTGAGATTTGACTAAACTAACTAAATCTTTCCTGCAGTTTGGTAATATTAATTAATAGTCTCTAATTTACATCCGTGAAATCACTTTGTTCTTCCGTCTATTTTCTTCAGATTTTTCCGTTAAAACCTTAAAAAAAAAACTAAAATATCCTGACACTTCGGAAGAGAAAATAATTAATTCGTCTCTGAGGTTTGATCAAATTAATTAAGTCATCCCTGTAGTTTAACAATATTAATTAATAATCCTGAGGTTTACCCCTGTCAAACCATTTGGTCATTCCGTCTATTTTTTCCAGATTTTTTCATTAAAACCTTAAAAAAAAGACTAAAATACATGAGATTTAATAAGAAAAAGATTAAACTAACTTAGTTTAGAATTTTCATTTGTCGTGAAGGGAAAACGAAGAGTCAGGGTATACATTGATTATTTGATATTTACCCCCAAAAAAAAAAAAAATGATCAACATAATGTGTCACTTTACTGTTTTGAGCCGCTCGCAAAAAGATGAAAAAAAGAAAAATATACATCGAGTTAATTTCAATAAAAATAATAGGCATTTAATTTTAGATATCAACATTCAAGAGAACAAGTTATTTTACATATTCCATTACAAACTACAACTAATGAAACGAAGATAGGACCATAGGAATAGTAAGAATATTTTAGGAAAACAAAACATTGTTTTTGCAAAATTTCAGTTATAAATTTGTTAAGACTTAACTGTCATTCCGTTATAAAGCAAATAACCTAAGTTAGTTTAGTATTTTTCTTCTTAAGTATAACGATACTTTAGTCTTTTTTTAAGGTTTTAACAGAAAAATCAAGAGAAAATAAACAGAATGATCAAATGATTTAACGGAAGTAAACCTCAAGTATCATTAATTAATATTGTTAAACTACATGGATGACTTAGTTAGTTTGGTTAAACCTCAGGGACGAATTAATTATTTTCTCTTCTTATGTGTTAGGGTATTTTAATTTTTTTAAAAAGTTTTAATGGAAAAATCTGGAGAAAATGGATGGAGGTAAACTAGGGACCACTAATTGATATTGCCAAACTGGAATAATGATTTAATTAGTTTGGTCAAAACTGAATTAATTATTTTCCTTAAATTACGGGATACAATTTACCTGGAGTCCTGGCCCACCATAAACACTCATACCAGGAATCACTTTTCCATTTCCAAGCTTCACATTAGCGGGAAAATCCCTATCAAGGGTTCCAGCGCCAACTGTTGTAACGCAAGGTGCTATTTTGGTTACTGTAAGGCCATTAGGGCCGCCATTACCAGCAGAGGCAGAGACAAAGGCTCCCCGATCTATGGCTCCAGAAGAACCAATAGCAATGGACTCTAAATAATATGGAATCATCGGCTTGCGGAGACGGGTTAAACTTCTCCTATTCCTGAACGGTGCGTTTTAGTTAACCTATCCAAGGTGGGTTAATTAACTCATATGGGTCCTACATTTATTATATTTTAATGTTAATTTTAATTGAAGTTGCAATTATAGTTTAAAATTGAGTGTTTGGGAGTGAGTTCATTTTAGTGTTACAGGTCATCAAATCGAGAATATTTAGAAACGTTTAGCCATTTAAAAAATATATAAACACCGGCGAAAAACGGGGTATTTGGATTAGTTTTTATATACACCCAAAACATCAATCAACACTTTATTTTTTTTAAATTTTGATTTTCATGATTCAAAGCTCAATAGGATTTGCTCTGTAGTAAAGAAGATATATTTAATTTTGCAAAAACTCCAAAATCAAAATCATCTTTTCGACTTGTGAGTGATAACTATATTCACTCATTTTAGATTAAACTCAATCTCAACCACTCGTTTGTAGAAACCGAATGGGACCAGACAAATCGTAAGCTTCATTCTACATCTGAATGCATAATTCAATTCCTTTCTCTTTGGCCGCTTTCTCTTCCACCTCCTGATTGTTAATAGAAAGAGCGAGAACTTTTTTTTGAAAAAAATGAAGCTCTCCCTCAATCTTCAAGATGAAGATAATCCTCGCTTAAAAGCCAAAATACCCATTTCAATGTTCGACCAGCCTTTCACTTCTATCTTCTCCACCGCTGCAAACTCATTTTCAGATTTCTCCTTCTCTGTTGCCACCAATTTTCCTTCTGGTCCTTCTCTCAAATTCACCTACAATCCATCATCTACTACAGATGCTTTCTTTTCTCCAATTTCTCTATCTCTTAAATCAGGATTAGGCCTCTTTGGCTCTCCTCAAAATTCCCCTCTGGTTTTCTCTGCTAATTTCTCTCTTTCTAATTCAAGCCCTAATGTTGTCATCCCTACTTTCTCTCTTCATTTTAAGCCCAACTTTGGTCATTTCTCTCTTCACAAAAGAACATCTCCCTCTTCAAACCCTAACCCTGATTCTGATTCTGGGACCCACTTGGTATCTGAGTCCAATTTGGACTATAGCTCGTCTTCAAATTCTGAGTTCGTAAATGGTTTTGCTCCAGATGTGCCATTGGGTTGGCAAGAAGTGAAATTGGAGCCATTTACTAGCAAAGATAAAGAAAGGTCCGCAAATGCTAACCCGAGTGATATTGGAATTGGGTTTTTTGCAGATAGGCAATTAGTGTGGAGAGATGCTAAGAAAGTTGGTATTTTGAGTGGAGTTGCTGTCAAGGCAAGGACAATTTTGCCTTTAAGTAAAAGGGTAAAGGTGAATCTGAGGTGGAGTGTGAATTTGCCTGATGATTGGGGGATAAAGAGGCCTTATTTGATAGTAAATAAGATTGGGATAGAGAGGGTTGATAAGGTTGAGGAAATAAAAGAAAATGAGAATAATAGTGCAGGTGATTTGGAGTTATTGAAAGGAATGTGTTTTTGGATGAGAAGGGATTTAGACAAAATAGAGAGGGAAAATAAGGATATGCGGAGGTGCTTAGAAGAAATGAGAGTTGGAGTCTCAGCAAAGACATCGCGTGGAGTGAGTAATGGTGTTGTAAAGAATGTGGTGCCAGCTTCAACTGATAGGTTGGGAGAGTTTGAACAATGGAGGAGCAAAAAAAATGAAGGTAATGGGCGAGCAGAACCAAAGAAGCCTGCAGATCGGGCAACTGATCTGGAAAGTGAGTTGCAAAAGGCTATCAAAGCTGCTGCTTCTTAACAAGGTTGGAAATGTCTTGCAATATATTACTTTTTTGCTTGTTTAGAATCTGTATAGTATTGAGCTTTGAGGTTAGGTAAAATTATACGGAATATTTGGAATAACTATTATAGGCTTGCTTATGAAGTATTGGCCTTATATGCATCCTTTCTTGTGCATATTCTAATTTAATAATGTTTGAGAAATATAATGGATTCATGCAAGTATAATCGCTTTATTTTGGAAGCGTTCTAAGTTGGAATTTTATTTTTTCTTTTGTGTATTATTTAAAATTCTTCATTAGATACTTTGGATAGCCTTCGGTTAATTGATGAATTGCAAGTTGATTTTTGATGAAATTACTGTTATGTTGGTCTAGAGGGCGAATCTAATGTTTCTCAACCCATTATATTAAAATGAAAGATTCTGTAGAAAACAAAAAATAAAAATAAAAATAAAGGAAAGAACAATGAAGGATACTGCATACTGAAAATTCTGGTTAATCGATTAATGCTTGATTAAGACAGGATTATATTTCTGGTTCATGATTAGTATTTTAAATTCCTGCAAAAACTTGAAGCTTTTTAGGTGAAACTGTATGGTCAGGATAGAACTCCAAGGCCCTGCAGAAATGACTAAACCAAAGAAAATTTATTATTAGTCCACATTACATTTATGAGGAAGCCATAGTCTAAAGAAGGAAACAGTCCCACTTCTTCTCCATCCTCTGCATTTAAGCAACTGATTGCCACAAAATGCAGAGCCAATGTTGCAAACAGTGAGTAAACCAGAGTTAGATTAGGACCTTCCTAAACTCAGAGAACATTTTCACTTAGTTTGGGTACTAAAAGATGCAAGGGAAAAGAATGAAAAGAAATGGAATTATGTGAAGCAAATGGGAAGAAAAGAAAAGAAGTGAAACTAAAACGGATGTCTCATTTAAAGGATGTGAAATTTACTTCTACTTATGTCCATTGTTAAATTGTTTTGTTTCTTCTCATTTTCTTCTATGATGTCTTTTTCCTTTTGCTGCTTCATTTCACATTTAGTTTCTCTTGTTTTCATGTGATGTATGAATCTAGACTGTCTAGTTGCTGCATGATTTATACAAGTATAGGATCTTGATGGTCCACATAGTCTAATCTTTGCATGAACATGTGATAATATGTGATTACTCTAACCTTTCAGACTTGGTTAAAATTTTACTTGGTCAAAAGGTGAAATTGACCCTTGAATGTATGCATGGTTGTTAATCTAAATTCTGCTTCGGCTCAATTTGAGTTCCTCCAAGCTTTGGAAGACATCGATTGCATTGAGTTCCTGCAAGTAAAATGGTGGTATTTGTGTGCTGTCCATATTACACAACTGAGCTCGCAAACCATTGTCAGATTCTTAGACGAGCTCACAAAGGCACAATCACAATCATTTCATTTTGGTGAGTAAGTAAATTTAAATCCACAGCAGAAACACACTGTTTTTTATTCAGTATGCAGCTTTCCTTACGAGAGGCAAGGATAGGAATTGGAGAGAGACTTATTCTTATATCCTAACTCGCACATGGTAGACAGTTAGACACACCAGCCTCTGATCTCTCAAACCATACATGAACAACAGTTAGACAGTTAAGACACCAGCTTCTGACTGGTTTGGCTTAGTTTTGATTTTTTTTTCTATATAACAATTTGATTCATTCATTGATTTAGTTTGTTTTGGACCAAATCAACATGATGCCCGCCTCTATTTGCAAGAGATAGAGTGAGGACATCAATCCCTTAAGAAATTACAAAATAGACGCATTTAATCATATACCAAGTTGAATATCTTCTAATCCTTCATCAATTTATAGTCTCATGTATGCTTGTTGAACTTGCCAAATAATAGCTAACAACCGGTGCTCGTGTCATTTCTCCCAAGAAGTATATGGCAATGTTTGTAGCCTTGGCAAGGCTAAACCATCCAAAAATTTTGGAATTTTACATCTCTTAACAATTGCACCCTAAATCCAGCTTAATCCCTTAGATACCTTAATTTGAATTTTTTTTTGTCACAATTGTATCCTAATTTGAAATTAGTCAAAGTTAATGAATAAGGGAAAAATTATATTTTTGTCCTCATTTTCTTTGATATAATCAACTGTTTTATTTTTGTAATTTTAAAAATTATACTATTTTATCCTTGTAGTTTGAGTTCGTTAAATGAAATCATTTTTCTGTTTATTATTTGAGATTTAAGTCATTAATGCTAATAAAATTACATGATTAACCTTATATACATATGACTAAAAGGGAAACAATTACATTTTTGACTTTATATTTTGATATAATTAATTATTTCGTCTTTATATTTAAAATTGCACTATTTTATTCTTATAGTTTGGATCCATTAAAATGTAATTTTTAAAATAATGTAATTTTTTAAATGTAAGGACAAAGTAGTCAATTATGCCACAATGTTGAGATAAAATTATATATTTTCCATGAACAAAATACTCCTTTCATCCTTTTTTTTTTTTTTTTTTTTTTTTTAAAATGTAACGGACAAAGTAGTCAATTATGCCACACATGTTAGAATAAAACTATATATTCCATGACATAAATACTCCTTTCATCTCTTTTTTTTTTTTTTTTTTTTGTTGTATGCTTCCTGACAAAGCACTAATATTAAGAATTTTCATTAGATAAACCAATTTTTTTATCCTTTTATCCTTAACCATCGTTATGATTAACTAAAAGTTTTTATCTATTTTTTTTTTTTTTTTTTTTTTGTATGCTTTGACAAAACACGTATATTAAGAATTTCATTAATAAAAATTTTTTTATCCTTTTTATCCTTAACTCGTTATGATATTAATAAAAGTTATTTATTTAATGAAGGATCATAAAGGTTGTCATGGGAAAAATAATTGGTTCCATATAAGAATTTAGAAATCTTGCAAATATTTTGGTACATTAATAGAAGAATAACAAGTAAACAAAATGGGACGAATGGACCGTTAAATATGGGTTCCACGACTCATACTCGAAGCTAAATCATTAAAAAAACTCCAAACTTTGCAGTTAGTTTTAATTGTAATCTAAATCTAACTTTCTTCTCTTAGTATCCTGAACTATTATAATAACATCCTAATTTCAATTTATACCCAATTTAATGAATAAAATATTATTTTTTAATAAATATATATATTTATTTATATAAATATTTAAATAAAAAAATAACATATTCATCTTAAAAATAAAATACTTTTTATTTATTTATACAATATTAACAACAAGTAATGATTCCTTAAAAATAAATAAATAAAATCTATTTTTATAAGAGATCTTTAAGTATAATTTCAGTATACCCTAACTAAAATTTCATGCTTAAAAGATGGCAAAACAAATACCTAAACTAATATTTTATGTTTATAACTAACTAAAATTTATTATTTTACTTGGCTTTTTATGACTTTAAATTTCTAACCAATATTAGTTAGAGTGTTGTTAAACGGTGAGTTTTCGGTTAATCTTTCCTTTCTTTGCCCAAGAACAGCTCCAACAGCATGATCACTAGCATCACACATAAGCTCAAAGGGAAGAGTCCAGTCTGGTGTGGCAATGATAGGGGCTGAGATTAACTCCTTCTTCAACCTGTTAAAAGCATTTAAATACTCTTTGTCAAAATTAAAAGGAACATCTTTAATTAATAAGTTACAAAGAGGTTTTGTGATTTTGGAGAAATCTTTGATAAATCTCCTATAGAATCCCGCATGGCCAAGAAAGCTCCTTATTCCTTTCACTGAATTAGGAGGAGGTAGCTTTTCAATTACCTCGATTTTGGCTTTATCCACTTCGATTCCTTTTTGTGAGATTTTACATTATTGCATCTGAATTCAAATTATACAAAATTTTTTTACCGCAATCTCAACCTAAATTTATATATATATTTTTAATCTTATTTAATGTGCAAATCTTATATTAGTGGAAAAAAGGGTGCATTCTGAAATAATCTTAACCCCTTCAGATATTATAAATTCAAATTATAGTAAATTTATTAAATAAAAAATAAAAATTTCAGATTCCACCTCAGTGTATTCGGTTAGTTTAACCTTAGGTCTTGGTTAAGTGAAATGGTGTATTTCTCTTTAAACTATCCATTCTAATCTTTCTCCCATTCATCAATTGTTAGTTATTTTCTCCATCTCTCTCCTAAATGCCTCCAATTTCTCTCTCCTCTCTCTCGCCATAAACCTTATTTATGAAGCCAATGAAAAGTGTTTTGCTTTATTTCGGGCTTCATCCCTCTATAATACTATTCTTCTCTAATAATCTAGGGCTTCAAGTCAAATGAGATAAATTTTCAATTTAGAGTGCTATTGTGATAGAAAATTTGATATAATTTCAATTAGAGTGCAATTATGATAATAAATTTGTCATAATCAATCCAAGCTGCAACTATAATAGAAAGTTAAGATTGATTTGTTGGAGATTAAAGTTGTTTTGGAATGCGATTTCGAAAATCATATTTCATTCAATTCGATAAAAAATGTTTGGAATTTGTTACAACCCGAAAAGTTTAGGATATGATATTTTATATTGTTTAATCAACTTATTTCTTGGATTAAGTTAACTCAAATATAAAATGTGGGATTGACATTTAATGTATTTTATTCATTAATTTTGATCAATTTTAAATTAGGGTGTAATCGTGTCAAAAAGTTGCAATTGGGTATTTGAAGGGTTAAATTAGATTTAGAGTGTAATTATCACAAGTCGCAAAGTTTGAAGATTTTTGATTGGTTTAGTCCCTTAGCAACTAGTTCTAACTCTTTAACTATATTCACAATCATAGCTTGTTAAGACTGAATCATATATAGTCATCAAGAAGTAGGGCGAAGTGGCAACATTAAGTCTCTACTTCTTGACATTATCAAAGATAGTTAAAGATATGCTAGGAATTGCACAAAAGATAGTTAAGTCTATGCTGTTTGTTGGGTGAGAAAATAGAATAGAAAATAAGGGAAAGACATGGAAAAGAAAAGAAAGTGAAAGAGACGAAAAGATAGGATTCACGTGGAGAAAACGGCAGGAGAGCATTAATGACGAAAATGACCATAGAATTGTACATCAATTGCATAATTTCTTATTTACACCCAACTTAGTATTGTCACATCATATCCAATAAAGAAACTAATCAACACAACTGCCATCAATCAATAATTCAATTTCAATTTCAATTAAATCCATTTTAATCATAATAGAATCCTAATAATTACCCCTTCTTTGAATGAAATTTTGTCTTCAAGAGTAAATTTGGAAAACTAAAACACATTGCATTGATCCCTCTTTGAAGGAAATCGTGTACTCAATACTGGAATTAGTTCTAGCAATTTGACAAACGCCTTGTAGGCAAGAATATGCACCTATCTTCTACTTTTTGTCTTCTCCAAATTTCATCTTCCTTGAGAATTATAAAATCAAAAGACCCCAAATCACCAACATTACTTTGGTTTATACCTCGTTGGCACTACATATATATTCCCAACAAAATAAAATGTTCAGGTGTAAAAGCCTTCAGAACAAAATTAGATTTTCTATTCACCAAACCATTTAAACCCTAAATGTGGAAACACAAAATGAAGAGTAAAAATCAAAGTGATTTAAGATTTGGGTGATGTGGACTTATTGTATCCACATAAGCTGTCAGCATATAACAATGGGTCCCCCATAAGACTGACTCAGCTTTCTGGATTAACAAATCTGTCACAATCGCTTAATCAAATTTCAATGAGTACATGTACTTAATTACAAATATTTTTTGGGCGAAACACTAAAATAAAAAAATAGACCGAACTTTGTGTTAAGCATTAACAAACCTACAATTTTCTCTGATCTGTCCTTCATTTCCGGTAAGTACATTTATATTTCCCATTTTGACTATAGAATTGACAAAGGAATCAAAGAAAAGTTGTTGATTAGAGGCATAACCCCATACTTGTTTTATTATCTCGCCTTCATCATCTTCTTTGACCAATACATTGTCAGATCCTAACAAACCTCTTCCTTCAAGAATGTTTATGAAATAATGATTGTCAAATCTAGCTGGAGTATTATAATCAAGCGGTGCCAATTGATCATCTCTTCCTGATCTTGGACATATGGACCGTAGGATTCTTCTAAATGTAGTATATCTCTTGTATTTGTCATAGTTTTCTTCTGGGTTCACTTCATAAACTCTCTGCCTAAAGCTTAAGCACCTTGCCTTTCCCATTGTGTGACTACCTGTGTACAGAACATTTTTGTTATTAAAGTGAGCAAATGTTGAACCTTTTTTTAAAAAATTGGATTAATTAGTTAATCTGTTAGTTAATTGATACTGTTAGAAACCGATAATATCGGTTGGAGTAAAAAGGCTGTGTTTGGCAATAGCTTTTGTCAAAAAGCTAAACGCTATTTTTATAGTATTTCATAATATATTGTTTTGAACTAATTTTTAAAGGTTAAAATAGCATTTTATAAAAATGAATCCATATAACATTTAACATTTAATCTTTAGCATTTTATAAAAAGCTACTAAAATAGCTAATAATTATCAAAACAACTAATTTTGCTGAATAGACCCAAATATTGAGTGATAATTACTCAAATTGTTAGTTTTAGTCCTTTTTTTTCTTTTTTTTCTTTTTAGGAATTTAGTCTTTTTGGTAATGGTTGAATTTCATGACAAGGCTAAACCCATATTCTGCACTATACTAACCATTTTCGTTTTGAACTGAAATAATTAATACAAAACATATTTTTTTTATTTAATATCAATTTATTTGATTTTTTTATTAGTTTTAAAAAAATTAAAATAATCAAATCAAACTGAATTTGTATATTTTATATACATTATATGTTTACATCAATATAATAACAAATATTTACATATAGATAGAAATATTTTGTATCTTTATTTATTTATTTTATATTTTATGTTATATATATATATATATATATATATTTTATATTTTGTTATAATATATATTATATATATATATATATATATATAGTTCCTTGATTACAGTTTACCTGATAAAGCAACCAAGTCTGTTATGTCTAGCCCCTGCTGTTTAAAGTTGGCAATGAGAATTTCCAAGGAGGAATTTGGAGTAGGTATAAACTTATTGGCACCACCAAAGCTAGCTTTCAAGGAGTCCTTCCTGCCTAGCCAGACTTCCCATCTTGGACCTCCTCTCTTTCGTCAAATGCCCATTATTAACATTCAATTACCAACAATATAAAATATAATTAAATTTGCCTCAATTGCTAGAAATGTAAAACATTTGTAAAATAGTCAATGTTAATTCATATGAAAATCCCTAATCAACTTTATTTTTTGCAGGAAAAATACTTGTCTAAATAAGGTATGTATTTATTCGTCATATGCCTAGGCAATAAATAGTCTGACTCATAAGATTATCGACGAATTGACTAATATATTTTAAAATGAACTGATTCATGAATCAAAATGAATTGCATAAGTTTAAACTAGTGATTATTTTTAAATTTAAACTCGAGTCTCTTTAGCTTCAAAATCCAGCTTCAGCTTGGGTTATGTATTTATTATTTAAAATAAAATTACTCCCTTTATTTTGCGTAACTAAAAAGCTAAAATAATATATAGATTTGTATATATAATGTGAAAATATGGAGGAGGTATGATGAACAGTACATACTGAAGCAACAGCATCACGAGCAGCCATGGCGAGAATATCAGCACAAGAGACAGTAAGTGGGCATGCTTCTTCCAAACTATATTTGATCTTATCAATCACTTCAAATCCATGCAACGAATTTAGGTTAGGTCCTGCTTGCTTCTCACTAACTATGTCTCCGTTGCTATCCAGAAGAACTGATGCGTCACAACCCTAATTTAAATATCACACAAACGAATTAGCAATGTCTCAGTATCTTGTAAACGGATCACAATTCTTTTTAGCTATAAACTGCAAATGAGCAAGATCAAGTTCAAATACACCTTTAATGAGAGCTAAATTCAAATTCAACATAGCTCAACTCGATTTGGGTCACTTACAGTTACTGCCCTAAATAATGTTTACCAAGAGTTACTAAAATTATTTTAAGTTGAATGCACATTTTTTAATCATAAAACTCTAAAATAATATATTAAACAATAATATTTGAATATGCAAAACAACAATTTCAATTAGTTTTACAAAACATCTTAAAATATGTCACATTTATATGGAAAATAATAAAATTTTCATAATATATATTTCCAATAGAATGTTTTTTTCAACAAGACATGAATATGACTAACAGAAATAAATTATTAAGAAAGATAGTAACAAAGAGGCCTAACCATAACAAAACAATCATGAAAATGCAAGCGGAGCAGAGCAGCAGCCATTCGAGGATTTTCAAGAGCAGCAAGCTCAACATGATATCTAACAATCTCTTGTGCGAAAGGGCAACTTTCTTTGTAATAATCAAGAACCAGAAGCTCACTATCTCCATGAGTTTTGGTGCCTTTCTGCAAAGCTAAAGCTAGTAATAAAACCAGTATTGTTCTCTTGAAATCCATTTCATAAATTGCAAGAATATTTTACACCAGTAGGGTATGGCAAAGTAAAGAGAAGATGGGTTAGAATTGGTTCTTATCTGAGAGGAGTCTCTTAACAACATTCTGATAATTTGTAATTATAATTAAGTACATGATCAACCCTTGATTGTGATTTCTTGTACCGTTTTTTTTATGTTCTTTGCATGTTTTTCAAACCAAACTTGAACCTCAAGAAAATTCCTTTCTGAAAGTTGGTACAACTAATTTAACCTAATTTTGTAACTTTTATTTGGCTCAATCTGGATATAAAGAATGAGAACAGTCTACTATTTTAACCTTACAGATAGAAAAATAGATAGAAAACCAAGAAAAATAGAACTTCTTTTGAATAGAACTCACTGCATTTAGCTTTGTGAGAATGCTATTTATATTAAAGTTTACAAGCTATTTCAAAAAGATAGTAATTGAACCTAACATTAGTACTATAAAACCAAACATATACATATACCTTTTCTTTTCAAACCATAAAACTAATGTATTGCATCTTACTCTCAAAATTTTAACTTTTTCTTTTATGAGTTAAGGAAACATAAATGCAATTCTAACACTCTTCCTTACGTGCTTTTCTTAATTAAATTAATCCTTTTATACAAACTTTCTCAATCAACTGGTTGATAACTTGAATTGTTATATAAGACACACTTTGCATTTTTTTTTTTTTTTTTAGCTTGCCTAATAGCATGATATTTTACTTTTATATGCTTTATTGAGCCATATTAAACTGTATTCAGTTCAATCTATGATTTATCAATATATCATTCATGGACATCGATAAGATCATTCCATTTAGCAGCATCTTAGGATGGCATAGACTTAAAGTTAAGGACGTAGCCACTAACTGATTGTCTACCTTGATTAATAGTAGTAGCATCACCAACAGACTCTCCCTCTGCTCTTAATTGAGCTATCAAGTGTTGCTTTCTAGACATCCAAGAAAAAACTCTACAATTTATAGAAAATACATAATCAGTGGTGCTTTTTTCAACTGATTTTACTTGGTGCTTACGTAGATCTTGATAAAATAACTCATAGCAAATAATAAATCAAGATTAGAAGTTGTCCAATAATGTAAACTTCTAATTAGACTTCCAAAATAGGAAGCATTAGCTTTATCATCCCTCATCTGCCCTTGACAATTTCTGATTTCAACAGAGTTCTCGATAGCTTACTGTTTTCCGTTCTGAATTTTTTCGACAACTCTTGAGCATACTTTCTTGGAAAATGAAAATATCATTTGAGGATTTGATTATTTACATCCCAAGAAAAATATTTCACGAGCTTAATGTTTGACGTTTCAAATATCTCCTTCATCTCTTTCTTGAAATCAAAAATTAAATTTGGATTGCTACATGTAATTGACATACCGTCCACATAAATAGAAACAACTAGCAAATTATTATTTTTAGTAGCTTTTCACATGCAAACTTGGCATATTTTCAGTTTTCATGTTTTATAGAGGAACGAAAGTATCATGCAAGTTTTGCCCCGAGTTGCTATTAGTAGCCTTTCACGACAAGTCTGATCCAAAGGCTTTAGGCTTGTTAATAGACTAATCTAGATTTAAATTAAGCCTATGTACTCATTTTACTCCAATAGCATTTTTCCCATCAGGTTTGTTGACAACCAACCAAACTCGTACTTCATTATATTTCACTGTTCTTCATGCTTTGTTACTTCTTTGAAGCTTAAAGGTTCCACCACAGCAAGATTTCATGGCTTATAGTGTTTTGATAGAGGCTTGGTTCTAAGTAAAAAAGAAAGCGGGTGGGTAACTATAAATTTTGAGACACCTGTTGAACCTCTCAATGGATTAAATTAAAAAAAAAAAGAAAGCGGGGTGTGGTAATAAAATTTTGAGACACCGTTTGAACCTCTTCATTGGATTACATTAAAAACAAATAAAAAAAAAAAATATATCTATATATATATATATAATATATATATATATATATATTATATACTTAAAATATAAATTCTTAATTCTCTAACTGAATTAGGATTTCCCCTAATCCCCAATTCTCAATCTCAATTTGAAAATCATCAACTTTCAAATTAAACTCAACCTAGAATTCAAAACCCCGATTCTCACTTGGAACCTAATGACATTAAGAGCTTGGGATGTGCCAAAAGACATTGGATTCATTCTCTTGTGCCGTTTAGGCATGGAAGCAAACGACATTGCTTGTTTTTCTCCACATAAGACTACCATACTCAATTTAAGGCCTAAAAACACACCCAACAAGCTAAATCGGCCAACTCTAAAAAGATTTCTTTATTTCTGAGCATCAACTTGGAGAGAATGATCCGTTTTCATCGTCAGGTTTCAAGTATTAACCATGTCAAAACCTAGGCATCTATAGTATCATGTATTTTGCTCAAGTGTGATGTAAGGTGGAATACATGTATTTTGCTCAACTACAGTTGTTTTCCATATTTTAGTTAGTTAAATTTTGATGCTTTTGTTTTCTATTTTCGTTTTTTTTAATAAACAAAACCTGTTTGTTTAAACTTATTTAATTTTTTTTTTCTTTATTTTTGAGAAAACTGTTTTGAAAACAAAAAATAAATTTTATGAAACCACAAATCGTAGTTTACAAAATTATGTTTTGTGTTTTCTGTTATTGTTACTATTATTTTCTCTATCTATATAAATGAAACCACAAATCGTAGTTTACAAAATTATGTTTTGTGTTTTCTGTTATTGTTACTATTATTTTCTCTATCTATATAAATCTAATGTCATTTATTTATCCAAAATATACAAGCATATATTTTTATCTATATTTAAATTCTTAGCTTTTTTTTTTTTTCTATCTCTTCTTTACTTAGTATTATTTTTATATTTATTATTATTTTCTCTATCTATATAAATCTAATGTCATTTAGTATTATTTATTTATTATTATAATATTTGAGTATTATGTTTTTATTCAATATAATAATCAATAGTTACTATAATAGTGAAAATTTAAAATTCAATTGCAAAATATTTTTGATTATTTCATCTGAAACTTTGGAATTTTAGAAAATTTATTATTAACTAAAATTTTTAATGACTTAATAAGAGAGATATTTGATGATTAGAAGAATTTTTCATATTATGAACCAAAAAAACAAAAGAAAATTAAATTTTAGAAAAAAATAGTTTTAAAAAAAAAGTAATCAAAAACTAAAAACCATTTCACATCTCTAATAAATAGAAAACTCAAAATAAACAACTATGACAAACAGGGCCTTATTTTCTAGTTTTCCAAATAAAAAACCGGCTAATTTAAACATAAAACTCTATCTTTTAGTTTTCTTAAAAAATAATTTTAATAAACTACTCTAGTTTTCTACAAGTAAACACACCTTCAATATCTTATCTTTTGAAGCCCTCTTTCATTTATTTGGCTCAAAAATTAAGTTCAAAGTCCAAAATATGGAATCTAATCCTGTCTATGTACATTCATTGGTGACTAGCAAAACCCACACACTTCTATATATAATTGAAGTAATATCAACAAAAACCAGAAAAAGAAAAGGGTGTAAAATAACTCAATATTTTACAAGTAATTTCCTATTCCTGCTTGCATCTCAAAAGTGCAAGATTGAAAGCAAGCTTCTGAATGTTTCTTGAACGCTGGTCTCTTGTCGCAGGTGTTTCCGAACAGCATGTCAAGGGGTATTTGATTAAATAAGATTACTTCTATCTGTGTAAGTGATCTGCAATTCCCTGCTTGAAAGACAATTACATATGATCAGTAAGATGTATTCAACAGCAAGCTCGTCATGTTCTTTATAACTGAAGTTGTACAAACTACGAACTGAAGTTTACGTTATTGGCATTTGGGCCCTAACGAACTCTACTAGGTTCTAGCATTTATCACTATCTTTTTTTTAATTAAGTTCATATATCCTTAAACTTCATGGTTTAAATGTTGCTTTACCATATATCTGATACGTTATCATTCCCCTTCGACTAGGAAATTTACAGGATGTACTGCTGAACTATTGACATTGAGTGCCTTTTGCAACTTCCGACTATCGAGGACTTCAACCTCAACCAAAAACATAGAACTAACTGGCCGATGATCTGACAGCATTATCTCTGTCCGATTGTAAGAAAGTTGTTTTATACCTCTTCCTAACCAAAGTATTCGATCACACCTGCACATATGATGTCGAGTACGTAATGAGCCAATCAAGAAACATACAAGATGTGAAAATTTCTATTTTAAGTTCTTCCTGCCAATATCATTTCAATCAAAAAGCACACGGTAAACTTACCATGCTGGAGATCTTTTCTTCTCCCCTTCTTTTGGGTTCTCCCCAACATATCTGTCAGTGTTTATCTCATACTTGTAAGTGGGGGGAAAGTTTATCACTCCCTCTTTCCATCCCTCAAATACATGCCCATTGCGAAGCTCTTTGCTTAGCTGCCATAGGATATCATTCACGATGTTGTTTAGAAAGCTAGCAAAAGATGACAGAAAATGTATCCAACATAGAAAATTATGGACCTCATTCTCACCTGATCATTGTTGATGAGTTCATCCCATTGCTTCAGAGCAACAAGTTTCCTTATATCTGTGTCCAACATATTGAGACGATAATTCAAATCTCCAAACCAGAATATCTGACTGCATAGAAAAAGCATCCAATTACAAGTTCATCTGTCAGTAAATTAAAGACACAATTATTAGAGGGACAAAAAGAATTAAATTACCAGCAAAGCATACAGACATGATCAGAAAATAATTGTTTTTTATCACACAATAATTCTTGAAAGTTTTTATGGGTGAACATCTGAAACTCTTCCCTTTTCTTTGTACCAAGTCAATGTATTGATTCTGCATTTGAACTTTTTATCCTTCAATTAAGTTATACTTCAGTCTTTTTACTTCATAGGATAGGTTTATATCTATGATGGACATTGTATACTTGACGAAACTTCATCATCTCACAGATATGCAATTCTATTTTATCAGTGCTCTGAATCACTCTTCCTATCCATGCGACAAAAATATCAGCAACATTAGATCTTCAGAATGGGGATGAAGCCCATGAAACTATCTCAAGTATATGGAAACAAAATTCATGAGAATATTATAATAGAAGGCCTAGTATGAATTTATAATCATAATGTTGGGATTAATGCTCTGATACCACTTATTGGGATTAATGCTCTGATACCACTTGTTGGATATCAGCGCAGCAATAAACTCCAAAATTGATTAATAATTTATATACCACTTTTGTTGGATATCAGCGCAGCAATAAACTCCAATTGGAATTAATATTTAGTAATACCAAAAATAAGAACGGGATAAGCAATCAAATAATACTAAACACAAAAACACCAAATATGATTGTAATTAATAAGAAGCAAACATTCACAAGCTTAAGGAAAAGTATTACTTACTTTGGTTTTTTACTTGGTTTTGCCTTTGTGTTTGCTTGGTGTTTTACAATTGATGATAAGAGGGGTGGTATTTTATAGGCATTTTTCCACGCTCCCTCAATGTACGGGCTAAGATTTGTTTACAAAATGGACGGTCTAAGATTACAAGGAACATGATTCTAGAGTTAGGAAGATTATTTTTCATTACTCTCATGGTGGAGAATTGTGGAGTATTCTAAAAATGTGGGCTTGGGACGCTCCAAGTTATGGCTTAAGGCTTCCTAAGTCTTGGACTTACTTATAGCAACCCAGTGGTGGTAACTAAAATTAAATCGGTGAATTTTAATACTCTCACTCACGATTAATTTCTCTTACTTCACAATTCCCAACTGGTTGCGAAGAAATCTTCATATTTATTTTTGCGTTTTAAACTCTTTTGTAAAGATTCGCTGGTTGATCCTCCCGTTTGATAATATTTCATTTTAATCTCTTCCTTGTAGAACATTCTCTCTGATAAAGTGATCAGTGAACCTCCACGTGTTTTGGTTCTGCATGAAACACCGGATTCTCAGCATTCTGTAATAGCTGAACGATTATCACAAATTTACGGAAATTGGATAGTCACATGGGTTGTTGCAGATCGTTCATAAGCTGTGACACGCAAAACACTTTTCCTGAGCTGCTGTTGCTGCTGTCTTCGATACTCGCTTCTGTTGTGGGAAGTGACACTGTAGGGTTGTCTCTTACTGGCACCAAGAATTACTTCCTGAACCAAGCACTAAATGCATAGCCTGTTGTGAGCGCCGGAGTGTCGTGATCTTCCTGCATTAATCAGATCGCAATATCCTTCGCAACTTGAATAATTTCACCTCTCTTTGTAAAAGATCCATGAATCGATTGTACTTTTGACATATCTCAATATTCTTCTCGAACTGCTTCCAAGTGAGGGTAGGTTTCTTAGGCTTCTGCATAAATCAGCTGACTACTCCAACTGCAAAGGAAATGTCTGGCCGTGTCATAGTGAGATAGATTAGGCTTCCCACTAGTTTTCTATACATAGTAGCATCTTCGAGATCATTCCCTTCATGAGCACACAGGTTGACATTAGCAGCCATTGGAGTAGATATCGGCTTGCATTCCATCATTCCAAACCTCTTCAGAAGATCTCTTGCATACTTCTGTTGTCCGAGGTACAAACCTTCCTTGGCTTCTTCTATCTCCAATCCAAGGAAATGCCTGAGCTTTCTCTTTCATCTTGAAACGAGTAGCCAAATCGAGTAAGCCAAAATTTTAGATGAGTTGAATCTCTTCGATGTTGTCGGCTAGTGACTATTAAATCATCAATGTTATAGCTAGTCTTCCTTCCTGATCTTTCACAAACAAACTGGAGTCTGCTAGTGCCATAACATATCCATTCTTGACAAGGAATTTTGCAATCTTGCCATACTAAGCCCTTGGTGCTTGTTTTAGACCATAGAGAGCTTTCCTTAGCTTGCACACATAGTTAGGATTGTTGCAACTTCTAAACCCAGGTGGTTGCTCCATGTAGTTTTCACGATCAACTTCACCGTGTAAGAATGCATTCTTCACATCCATCTGCCACAAAGGCCATGACTTACTAGCTGCTAAAGCTAGTAATACATGCATAGTAGTGATCTTGGATCTTGGCAACTGGACTAAAATGTTCCTCATCATAGTTCAAGCCATACTGCTGAGAAACATCCACGAGCAACCAGTCTTGTTTTGTTATCGCTCAAATTGATCCATCTGGGCGAGTTTTTGATTTTTGTAAGAACCCATTTGCAAAAGAGAATGGGTTTCACATCTCTTGGTTTTGGCAGCTAATTCCATGTTTGATTTTCCTCGCAAAGCAGCAATTTTTCTTCCATCGCAGTAGTCCACTCCCATCTTCTTTGATGCTTCTTCATAAGTTGTTGGCTCCTTATCTCTGCTATAGCAGCTGTTGCATATTTTTGGATTAGGCCTTCTTTCTCGACCTGATCGCCGAAGTGGAGGATAATCTGGATCTTGTTCTTTCTTGACTTTGGCTGCTGTTGTTCGTATGCACCTATCTTCCATGGGCTCTTCGGATTTCCTCTTGAACTCTTGGGATGGCTCTCCTTTGGACCTTTTCTGGATGAACTCTCCCCTTGACCTTTCTCTGGGATGAACTCTCCCTCTCCTATCTTCTTTTCAACTTTTTCTTGAATTTCTTTTGAGTCTGGTAGTAGAGTTGCTTGAGATAACCACCAAGATGATGTCTCATCAAAGACCACATTTCGTGAAATATGGCACTTGTTCTTTGCTTATCATAACCAACGAATATGTAGTGAAGTGCCTTTTTGTCAAACTTGCTTCGAAGTTCATCCGGAACGAAGACATAGCACACACATCCAAAAACGCGAAAATGACTTACAGTTGGTTTAATGTTCCACAGTTTCTGGAATGGAGATGTAAACTCCAGTCTTGCTTGAGGTAGTCTTATTTGGTGACGTAGCCAACTGTCTTCATGGCACTCTGCCCAAAATCTAGCTGGCACATTTTTCAGCATTTGGAGCAAAGCTCTGGCAAATCTCACATGGAGCAAACTCCTGCAAATCTCCATCAAGTGTCGATTCTTTCTCTCAGCAACTCCATTCTGCTACGATGTTCTTGGACATGTGAATTGCCTTTGAATGCCTTGCTCTTGGCAATATTTAGTGAATTCGTCAGATGTGCACTCTCTACCATTGTCGGTTTGAAGGCATCTAATTTTATTTTGGACTTCTTTTTTAACTTTCTTTTTGAAAGCTTTGAATTTTTCAAAAACTTTCGACTTCTCTACTATGAAATCAACCCAAACATATCTCGAGTAGTCATCAATGAAAGTAATCATATACCTCATATTACTATTTGTAGGTTGCTTGATCCGTCCAAGAACATCTGAATGTATTAACTCCAATGGCACCTTAGCTCTATGTTTTAACTCTTCAAAAGGAAGTTGGTGAGCTTTTCCATATTGGCATCTAGCACATATAGTGTCTTGTCGGCATTCCAACTGAGGAAGACCTTTAAGCATGGACTTCTTCATCATCACCTTAAGCTTGTGATAACTAACATGTCCCAGACGAGCGTGCCACAAGTTGAGAGCGTGCCACAAGTCACTGTCTCACTCTTCTTGTTCTGTCAAACATAGGCTTTTTGTGCTGACATGACGTATATTGATCTACTTCGCCGTCCACTTCCATAACTGATCTCCGATTAATTTACAGGTTAGGCGATAAACCTTCAAACATTATCAGGAGCGAACACCAACATAATACCTAATTACCTTGCAGACCTGCACTTGCTTATTTGTGATACAGTAGACATCAGGACTGAACACCACATAATTACCTGCACTTGCTATTTGTGATACAAAGAGCAAGTTTTTCTTCATCCTTGGCACATGGTAAACCATCTGTAACTCCTTTTTCTCCTTACTGGAGGGAGAAACAATGGTTGTCTTTCCAATGTGAGCTATTGTCAATCTCGTGTTATTTGCTGTGACTAATGTGATTAGAACTTCCAGAATCAACTATCCAATTATCATCATAGTTGATTCTATTACTTATAGTTATTAATGATGACTCCTACTTGGGTCCTTTCATCATCATCTCTACTGGCTTCTGTGGTGAATATTCTTCCCCCTGAACAAAGAAATTGTGAATATCTCATTCCTCTTCACTTTGTTGCTTGTTCTGGGTTGATGCTGTGTTTCCTTCTACTCATCTGCTTCGACATTCTTGGGCAAAATGTCCTCTTTTGTTGCACTTATAGCAACGATCACTGTCTCGCCAGTCGTCTTTCCCTTGTCCTGGCCTTGCTCCCCCTTGCTGTGATGGTCTCCACTTTTGCTTTCTCCATCCTTGTTGATTGCTTCTTTCTTTTCCACCATATACTCTCGCAACATTTCAAAATCCCCTCTTTTTAGCAAAGAGAGCTTTAGAGCTTTCTCATCATCCTTCAAAGCTACTCGATTGGACAAGATTATTTTCTAACTCGTCTAGGTTGGTTGCTGTAGCCCAACCACGAGTAGCAGTCACCAAGACCCTTAAATTGCAGGTCTTAGCCATGGATGATGATCCTCCTTCATCCTGGTCTCGTTGATTCTCTTGTCTGGAATCTAATTTCGAAATTCTCCTACATAAAGAATTTTACTTTTAGAAAAGTATTGACTTACAGTGAGGTTCTGTTGCGAGATTGAGAAAACTCCATTTTCGAGCCGTTGCAATTTTGCTTCGTTCTTTTTGGCGAAAGCAGACATTGAAGAATGTCCATGCTTCCTTTGGTGTTTTAGCCGACTTGCATTCCGTTGCATCCGACTTGATCCGTTGCATCTGCTCATCTTTTACTGCAACCGTCAGCACAGACATCGCCTTCCTGCATTTTGTCTCCCACTCTTTTAGAGCTTTTGCATCCCCAATTGGTGGTGTAATATTATCTCCTCCGACGATATCCCATAAGTTTTGACCTATGAGATAATATCTCATACGGGTACTCCAGTTCCTGTAATTATTGTTATTTAGCTTCTCGATGCTATTAGCAACTCTAAAAAAATTCGCCATGAGGTACTGGTGTTCCTGACACTAACCAATACACGACGGTCCCTGACCAATCACGATCACAATCCTTGCTTGTGAATCTTGTTGCTTCAACAACAGTCCCCGACTATTAATTCCAGCAGAGTAATGATACCATACACTTGTAAATGAACACCGCAAAATACCACGACTACAACAACTACCACCACAACCACGCTCTGATACCACTTGTTGGATATCAGTGTAGTGATAAACTCCAAGATTGATTAATAATTATACCACCTTGTTGGATATTCAGCGCAGCAATAAAACTCCAAGATTGATTTAATATTTATAAAAATTACCAAAAATAATAACGGAAAAGGCAACAAAATAAATTACTAACACCAAAACACCAAATAAATTGTATTAATTAAGAAGCAAACATTCACAAAGCTTAAGGAAAGGATACTTACTTGGGTTTTACTTGGTTTTTGCTTTGTGTTTGCCTGCGTGTTTACAATTGAGAGGGTAGGTATTTATAGCATTCCACCTCCTCAATGTTTACGGCTAAGATTTGCTTACAAAACATGACGGTCTAGATTACAAGGAACATTCTAGAGTTAGGTAAGATATTTTCATTACGATCTCATGTGTTTGGAGGAATTGTGGGAGTATTACGGTCTAGATTACAAGGAACATTCTAGAGTTAGGTAAGATATTTTCATTACATCTCATGTGTGGAGAATTGTGGAGTATTCTAGAATGTGGGCTTTGACCTCCAACTTTGGGCTTAAGGCTTCCTAAGTCTTGGCTTATTATAGCAGCCCATTTTGGTGGTAACTAAATTAATCGGTGATATTTTAATACATAACATATACTATACAGACACATGTCGCCATGCAATTTCTAACAAAATATTTAGTTGAATTAAAAAACATAAAGCTGCGAACATGGTAAAGCCCAAATGAAGAAATGCATGTTAAGCATATTGAAACTTATCCAAAGATTGCTTACTCATGAGATGGTATTGTCTGTGGTTGATCTGTGTCAAAGACAGATGAAAAACGGGTACGCCTTATGATTTCATAGACATCAGCATTTCGCCTTTGTTCAGCCCCATCTTTTTGACCTGAGGTCAGATGAGAACAAACAAAGCACAGCCTTGACTGGAAAAGAGACATGCTAACAGAAACAGAACCCTGCATCAGCTTCCCTCAATGAGACATATGGTAATGAAAGGAAAACGCGTTCAGTTAATTATCAGTTAAAAATGTATTAATATTTTATCTTCTTTAAATATTATGTAATTATATCTTCATCCAATCATATTGCAACACATTATAATGTGAAGGATAAATTGTAACACATTTTCTCACCATAAGCAGTAAATTAGGACACCACCATATAGTGAAGCAACCTGATTGTTTGATGATATTACAGCAATATTACAGCAATAATTCCAGAGATTATTGTTAAATCGCTTCTTTACATTTTAGGGTTCACTGTTTATTTAATTATTTTGTTGCCAAAAATTTATATGAGCACCACCACTTCCACTTTTTATTTACTATATTGAGGATGTGATATCTTTGCAAATATGCTGTTGGACAACAAGAATGAAGAAAGCAATTACCTTGTTTCCCATGTAGCCCATTAGACCAACTCCAACTGGAGAGACCTTCAAATTGTTTATATGTCTCCTTAACCTCTTTCGCACCCAAATTGATACATATATCCCAACCATTTGCTTGCTAACAATACGTACATACTTGGGACGTGATATTCCATTGTCCTTAATGAATCCATTATTATTTTCTTCCGTTGGTACTTCTGGGAAAATGTCATCATCTTCCTCTTCAGATGACTCATCAAATGGATCAGAGAAAGAATTAAGAACCTCAGGAACTTCAAGAACTTCAGGAACTTTAGGAACTTCAGGCTTTCCTTGCTGCTCTACCCACATTGATCCTAGGTTCCCATAACTGTGGTGAGATCTTCTTAGTCCATTGACGTTTATTGCAAAATTATGAGGACTAAATACTGAAGGATCCTCAGACCAATTAAAGCCCATCCTTGCAGAACTGCTGAATACCCTTCGCAGCCTGGAATTGGAAGAGATTACTTGTGGGGTTGCATCTAATGGATGTTCAGGCCAGTCTAATCTACCATCACAGTCAATTCCATATATTCTCTTCAAATGCAAATTTTTTCGAATGTCGAATACTTTACTATTTTCAATTCTTTCAAAATCAAAACCATCAGCAGTTTCTGCATATTCCTTACTCATCATTTCCAATGGCAGACCATCAACCTCATCTGCAAGTTCATCAGCAACAGAAGAAGTCCTTAGTACCGGAGAGGGTGGAGCACTGTAACATTTGTGTTTGGTTTCAGGTTGTGCAGATTTGTTGAGAGTTCTTCTAATGATTGACTCCCATTTCGGAATTGGCCTGTTACTTTCTGCTCCCAGTACATTTCCAGCATTCAAAGGTACTACCTCCTGGAAACTGTTAGGAAAAATACAAATAAAATATTAAATTTTGATGAATAGAAATGAAATATTAAAACCTCGTATAGAAGGTAGAAACTTATTAGCCATCAGAAATTCCTTTGCTACTTAAAAGCCGATACTATGGCAAAGAGGGAAAAACACTGTAATCCACTCAGACAGCAATTTGAATTGCTGCAAATCATAAACACAACCCTCTATATTTGGTTTAACTTTTAGATAGACGAAGCATATGAAAATCCAAAAATATGACTATAAATGTGAAAAATCAACCATCAAATCTGCTTGTCCAAATATTGAAATATTGGATAATTGTTTGAAGGTGTGGAATACAGTAGATGATAAATGTTGTTTCAGGCTGTTTGCCTTCAGACTCCGGAAAATGGGAAATTGGAGCACAAGCTAACCTTTTTTAGAGAATTGTGATGCAGCCAGGACAACTTTTGGATGATATTAGGGGTAAAATGAAGGCGTATAAATAGTATTCTGGCATCCCAACTGTATGCAGCTCACTGGAAAACAGCAAATCACATGCATAACACAGACTAGGATGATACTTACCTCTAACAGAACTGAATCATAAGCAAAGCACCATTTGGATGGTTATGATTCATCAAAGCTTCAGACTTTCTATCAGCTATGAGCCTATGGTTACTCTTAAACAATTGTTATGGGATTCTTGGAAGGATAGATGATGACAGAAAATGATAAGCAATAAAGTCAAAACTTAAATAGTTCAACCCTCTCCTAGAAAAATCCTTTGACAAGGTTCCATTAATAAATACTCCACAAATATGTTTATGATAACTTGAGATCATTAGAGTCTCAACAATTTCTATTTATATTTCAAAGATCCTTTGGATCTCAATTTATCATGTTCTGTATACAATCTTCAATTAGTTGAACAGAAGTTCCAACTTCTTTCTTCTTGAATGAAATATCAGCAAAGCTCAAGATTCTATAAACATAACATCGGAGAAACAAAAGCTCACACAAGCAATCACACAGTACAGACAAGAACGCAAAGCAAATGCATCAGGGGAAGACAGACACAGGCCCAGAGATTCAGGAAAAAAGCAGTAAATCCAATGGATAGGTGGACATATTTTTTTTTTTTTTTTCCCTAGTATCATTTAGAACAAAAAAAATTTAGAAAATACTAACCCAATGATATATATATCTGCTGGTTCTTCTGTGCAAAGCCAATCATCTATCTCAAGATCCTCATATGGATGTCTTCCAGCAACATTCCATGTGCCTATCATCACCCTACAAGACAACCAAATTTCAAAATTTTACTTAAATGGTAACTTTAGACTATATTTGAAGAAATATGCGGAACTTATATACTTAAACAAATATGCAGATTACAGCCAAACCTCACATCCTTAGTATTTATATACTGGGCACGGAGAGTTTCAGATTTTCCTCGCCTGTGTCTCACTGAATAGCCCTTAGAGACTGCATCTGGATATAAAAATTCGAAACCTCACAATTAAAATAATAATTGGGGATCAAAAATATTATCTGACAAGATCAGAAGATGGTGTTTCGAATTTATCAAGATAATTGAATAAAAAACTCTCTTAGCTATTACTTGGAGCATAGAAGTGTGTTTAGAAAAACTTCAAATTCTCTCCTCTTTAAGCAAATATTTCTTATGTTTCCAAGATTCACATAGAGAACAAAATATCAGTAATATTATGATGTTATAACAGATTTAGGCAATGTTAGAATTAAGAAATTAAATTGCCAATCAGAGGTTGTAACAAAATCTTAAAAGGTCAAATTAGGGAGATCAACAGATGCGTTGTAGAGAAGTTAAACAATATAAATCACAAGGGAACAACTAGTGAAGAGGAAGACATCTTTTTTTTTTTAATTATTTTTTTGAGCTTCTAAGAGCTAAATATGCTTTTGAACTTAAATGAATTTAATACAAGTGGATTCAACAATGGACATAGAAGATTATTGCCTGAGATTTGACTCGGGAATGAAGATTGGTTCCCTTGTGTAATATAAGCAGGGTCCTCGCTAACATTAACTCGTTCATCTTTAAGAGAGCAAGCTGTAAAAAATAGCAGAAAACATGATCAAGCACAAGAAGCATCAAGAACAAATTGATTATGGTAGCCACGCTTGAATTGTACCATCATCTTCACTCTCAGTTTCAGTGTACTCATCTTCACTAAAATCATACACCTTAGGTTTTATGTTCAACCATTTCTTCATGACAAGGGAAGGCCAAAAGGCCTGCAATCAAAAGCAACTCTCCAAAATAAGGATCAACAAATCATCACTAATTAAAGCAACAGAAATAGAAGTAAAGCCAATATAAAGAAGCATGAAAACATACCTCAGAGCGCTTTCCTCTCTTTGCCCTCATTGCCTTAAAATCAAGGCAAAAATGGAGGTTCTATCAGCAATTATACAGAAGTTATTCAAAGTACAAGTCCTTCAGTTACAGGCAGAGTCATTGGACTGTCTCCTTCCTAGGAGATTAGTATTTAAATAAGAGGCATAGATTAGAACCTATTAAAAAATTAGAAAAAAAAAAAAAAAAGAAGAAAACAGCTCCAAAGATAGGCTGGTTTCTGACGCCAAACACAAAGAAGATTCATGTTAAAGACCAAATATAAAAGACGGAAAAAGCATGGACATATTGACATACACATCCACAACCTCAACTTGCAATAAAGGAATAAACTAAATGGTCCTCCTCCCACATCTGTATTTTCTTATACAAAAACAGTCTAGCACGATATAATTGAAAATTCAATAAATCATTTTCTACTTTCAATGAAAATCAAATTGTCATTTTCATATGAAACAACCAACCTTATATAGTCCTACTCATACATATTCCTGTAAGCCATTGACATACCCAACAAATTAGCATTAAAAAACTTGAAATTTAATCAACCCATATCCTAATTACAACATACAATTAAAAACATCAAATGGGTATTTACTATTATACAATAATTAGTGGCTATTAACTCATAAGCACACCAAAACTCCAAATCAAATTGAACCAACCAATCAAATCTACAGACAAATTTAGAGACTTTTTGAGTCCAGATTATACGTAAGCCAAACTTATAAAATACTGATTACTGATTAGACTAGCAACTATAAATTTATATTTAACGCAAAGACAAAACCCAAGCGAAAGAGATAAATAGACAAAAAACCTGACCGCACCATCACAGCCAAGATTTGCAATAGACCCCACCACCCTTACAAAAACACAGCCTGAAACTTGTAACAACCCAACAAAGAAATAAGAAATCAAGGGTCGACATAAAATAATGAAGTTTAAGTCAAAATGGGTAATCATAATCGCTAATCAACGAGTAATTAAAAATTAATTACATTAAAGACAGCTGTTTAGCCATTGTTTGGACGGTAACACTTAATTTTCTTTATATTGCATTATGTAAGTTTTCTGCATAAGAAAAAGAATTAGAAGAGTTTAATATTTGCATGTATATGTCTGTGAAAAATGACCCTCGACCAGATTCATACATGGACCACAAAGAAAGATGGGTCAGCGCACTATATGTGAAGAAGATGAAGCCGTCTGCTCGTTTCGATTTTCAGCCGTAATAAGTCCAACTATTTTTGGGTTTTCTTTTCCAATGCCCTTTTTGTCAACAAAATTACAAAAAAATAAAAAAATAAAATAGTACTATTATGACATCATAATAAATAATTTATTTCCTTCGAATTAATTATTATTTTATATATAAACTAATTACTTCAAAGCTTACATATTATTTAAAAGACAAATTATTTTTTTAGTTTCATATATTTATTAAATATGAATAATAATTTATGCTAATTTTTTTACCTTTTACCCATATTTTATGTTTGATTAATTGAAAATTATGCTAAATTTAATGGAAAGACGGTTAAGAATGGATTTGGTTCAACTGGTTCATACATCTAATAATTGATTGATACCGAACATCTAATAGTAAGCTTATGCTAATTTCATCAGTTATTCAAGCTTTTCGCATTAATTGCTAACTGATTTGAATATTATTTAACATTTATCCGCCGCAGTAATTAACTATCCGCTGATATGAACATCTAAACTATAGAATTCATTATTAAATATTCAAATTATTGTACTATCAAATCAAAACTCAATTATTTAGTTACAAAAATCAAAATTTTCTCAAATGGGACAAAAATATCTTCAATGTGGATAAATCTATCTTTGACTTATTCAAAAAAATGTTGTTTTTCTTTTTTTTTTTTTTTTTTTTTTTAAATGGGATAAATCTATCTTTGACTTATGTCAAAAAAATGTTGTTTTTTCTTTTTTTTTTTTTTTTTTTTTTTTTTTTTTTTTTTTTTTGTTTTCTTTTATCTAATCGAAAGCTAGCTTATTATATATAATTGACTATAAACTTAAGAAAAATGGACTTAAATGACATCTAAGTCGGTTAGGGTTGGATTAGACTATAGATATAATTTAATAGGTACAAGTTACAATTTTTTTTTTCCTAAAAAAAGAAACGCCTCTTTCTAGTGATTTTTTTTTATTTTGCTAAATATTCTAAAAATAAGTTTTGAAAAAGACTCTTTTTGTCTAATAAAAAATGATTATAATTAATCAAACTTGCCAATTTTCATCAACATATATAGATTCATGCACATGTATATATATGTAAATTGTTTATTAGATAATTCATATAAAGCATTCTCGTCAATATTTCTGATAAGTAAGAGAATTTTGTTGTAATCATATGTTTTTTTTTTATCTTAAAAATAATTTTATAAAATTAAAATGATCATGGTGAACACTAAATTTTACTGTATAGTCTTATAATTAATTAAAGGATTTTTGTAGACATTATCATAATTTTAAAACTGTTGTCAGTTCCAATCATAGAAAATATAAAACCGAAATCGAACTGTTTTTTACAGTTTCTAAGATGATTTTGGAACTGTTACTTTTGATTTGTTCGGGTTTTGGATTGAAATTAGGTGACTTATTTCAAATTTTTTAAAATTATTTTTTAGATTTGTATCTTAAATAAATAATAATAATAATAATAATTATAATAATAATAAATAATAGTATTGAAAAATTAAATTAATTTAATAAAAATTCTTAAAATTATTTCAAAAAATTATAATAAAATAAAAAAATAAATTGAAAGTTTTTTTTTTTTGACTATTCTTTTTATATATGGGAAATCTAATATTTGTTTTTGAAACTCCTTTTTCAGTTGGGTTTTTGATGGTTAAATTTGAAAAATACGTTAAATGAGAGCCACAAAATTGAGAATCATGAAGAGCTAAGAAGGAAGGTAAGGTTTTTCTTGTTTTGGAGAGAATCATCACTGTAATCGATGAGGTTTTGGGCTAAGGGGAAACGCGTGTGGACATGTGTACGGTAGCTGTACTGTAGTCTCTCTCTGTAGTTGGTGGGACAAAATATCAACTTCCTCGTTGAACACAGCTTAACATTAGCTTTATTTTTTATTTTTTATTTTTGAGAAGAAAGCTATATTACAATGGATGCCACCCAAACAATAATTTACATATTTAAGACAATTATTTTTCTTTTTTTTTTTTTTTTAATAAATATTTTGGACATTTCCTAATTTCTACCTCTTTTATTTGTTTTGTTTTGCTTAAATAAATCACGTAAGAGCCACCCTTTACTCGTTCAAACGGTCAGGTGGAGTTATTACAGGGGTTCAGCAAAAAACCAACCGAATTGAAAAACTTAATTGTTTTGGAAAGAGTGTACAATAAAATTTATTTTACTCTCTCCTCTTTACTTTCCAAATCGGAAGGAAAATGAGCTAAAGTTGGTGTAAAAATTTACTGTTTGTTATGAAATTACAATTTTAACTATCCATCCACATTTCACTTTCCCAAATTACTTCATCCACCACCATTCTCTCCTCTCTTCTCTCAAGTTTCACTTCCATCTCAAATGAGTATCCTTCTCAACCTTCAAAATCATGAACTATGAAGAATTCTTTTTAGAGAAGGAGTGAGTTGTCCAGTTTATTACATTTCGAATCAGCGTTGTTAAGCTAAGCGTTTTCTTTCGTTTTTTTTTTTTTATTTTTTATTTTTTCATATTTTCAGTTTCAAAAATTTATCTTTTGTACTCGATAGATAAGCATTATCTTGTCTTTGTTGTTTTGTTTGAGTGAAAATGCAACTATGATGGATTTTTGGTTTTGAAGTAGTCATTCTTTACAAGATCTAATAAATTTATGTATTTTCTTGTTTTTTTTTTTTTTTTTTTTTTTTTTATATATGGCGTTGTATTTGTTCTGTACTGGATAAAAATAACAATTGCTTCTTCCTGATATGAAGTGCAATTGACTTACATGGGCTTCGGTTAATAACTCTTTGTTTTCACTTTTTCTTATTTTTCTTATTTTTCTCTTTTTTTTTTTTTATTTGGCATTACATCTTATCTTTGTTTTTGATGGAGGATTAAATTTAAAGATTAAATAAATAATTGCACTTTGTTTTCGATGCAGGAATAAACTTCAACTTTGAAAAAGGAGACCTTGTTCAGGTATTTTTTTTGGATATTTCTTTTTTTTTTTTTTTTTGACTAATTTCTTTTTTTTTTTATTTTTTAGTTTTAAAAATTACACAAGTCTCTCAATTCTAATTTTTTCGCTTGTTTTATTTGTTTGTGTTTGTTGTTAATTGCCCACTTAATGATTAGGCGGGTATTGAACTTTTTGTTTGTTTTCTGTTGTCCTCCTTGATTCGATAAAAAATATATATTACTCAGCTTTATTAATTATCGCATTTAAAATATTATAGGAACATAACTCATTTGACTATAGAAATACGAAAATTATAATAGTAATAATCAATTATATTTTACTTTCACTTATATAATTATAAAATGTGACACAGTGTTTGTGTGTGTTTAAAAAGTGAGGGAGGAGAAAGACACAGTGAACAATTGAAAGTAAACTGAAATATAGCGGAATATAGACATAACTATTTGACAATAGAAATACGAAAAATTAATAGTAATAATCATATATATATTTTTTATTACTATATAATTATAAATGGACACATGGTTGTGTAGTTTAAAAAGTGGAGGATGAAGACACAGTGAACAATGAAGTAACTGAAAATATAGCGGATACATATAATCATTTATCAACTCAGTTACAACGCTCTCAACATTTATGGAGAAACAAGATGGACAATTGGCAAAGATAAAGAAGATTGTCGTGCGTTAATCTACAATGTGTAATTAAATAAATTTACTACAAAATTTTTATATAATAAATTTATTAATTTATATGGTATATTTTATAATAACAATGATATATCACTTTCTAGGAATATATATATATATATAAGTGTTCATATGAGTTTTGAGTTTCAATAGAAAAAATTAAAATTTTGGTTCCGTTTGATATTTTCATTTTGTCATCTAAAGACTAATTAAATCAAACATAAAAAATGAGTAAAACAAAAAAAAAAAAGATATTTTCATTTTCTCAATTCTCTCGATCCTTAATTTTTGATAGCTAACAACTAGAAGTTTTATCAATTTGTATTCTTAAAATTAATGAGATAATGTAAAAATAAAAAGTTAAGTTTCATAACTAAAATTTTTATGAGGACATTGAAATCAAAACATCAATTTTTTTTTTTTTTTTTAAATATGGAAAACACAAGTGATATAAATATTTGAAAAACTCTTTTCAAGTTGCTGATTAGGAAGATCTAATGTATCATAATATCCTGAATGTTACGGATTTCTACAATTTCGCCCTATTTGATTGTTTTGTCAATTTTATTCTAATTTCGACTTTTATAACAATAGCACTCTCAAAATTGCAAATAAGGATGGAATTACAAATAAAAAATAATTTTCATTTTTTAAAAAATTAATGATAAAAAAATAAAATATCAAATGTTCTTTGAATGTCAAATTATAATCGAATCTAATGGATAGCACATTTATAGATTTAAAAATATGATATTTATTATATATGCAATTAAAATAGTTAAAAAGTTACTTATTTACTTTTTATTAAATGAACAATAAATTGAATATATTATCAATCCAAAAATTAGAATTTTCATTCTTAAA